CTTGCTCATCTCCATCTTTCCACTAGAAACAAAGCTTCGTAAGGGAGGAATCTTTGTTTTCTAATGTGCCTGCTACAGTGCTTCTGCTACTACGTGCTGAAGAAAAGTGGGAGCAGATTGACGGGCATACTTCCTATTTATACGGAAGTGAGACCGTAGGTGGGGCCCACGTCATAGGTGGGCGTGGATTAAGTCTGTCAGTGCTGCGCATGCGCAGTGGGATTACCCAATAGCGATAGCCTTAGAGGGCGAAGCCTTATACGAAATAGAAGTTGCAGCATCCTTGCTTCAGTGACAAGAAATAGAAGAAAATATTTTCCTAAGAACTAATTATTCAGGATTATTGTGCCTGATGGAGCTTCTACAGTGTATAGAAACACACTATTTCTATTTTATTTGTATTTACTTGCACATCTTAGACATTCTCTTGCACAATTGTTTCTGTTTTATTTGTTCTATGTCCTATATATATTCATGTTGCACTGTTGGAGGAGCCTAACCTAGCTAATGTGCACATGACAATAAAGCCTTGAATCTTGAATCAGTGAGGGGAGCTTTGACGTACGCTGCTGTTGCTTTGTGGTGTGGCCTTGTTGACCAGCACAGCAAAAGTCACCCAGTCGCTGTCCTCCAGCTTCTCCCGAGCCATTAGCTCCGGCACCTGCGACAGGCGGATCAGACGCCGGTCGGCCATCTTGCGGTCCATCTCGCTGGAGGAAACGCGCGGTCTCCTGAAAACAGCGAGCAGATTTAGCTTTAGATTTTCCACTGCTGACCTTTCCTGTGTCTTCATCACTTCAGTGTCCTCACCTGAGACGCAGTCCTGAGTATTTCTCTACAGCCACATCTTTAGAAAGAGGAAGAAGGGAAGAAGCAGCCGTGGCAGGTCTGCTCTTATTGGCCGGACTGAGGTGCTTGCTGCTGCTGCTCTCTGCTGGCTGGAAGGTGCCGCCGAGCTTTATCTCCACCAGAGGGCCTCGCTCTTCTGTGAAGAAAACACACTGTATAAATGTGCATAAAAGTAGCAGTCTTAGGCTCAATTAATCTAATTTTTTTATAAATAAATATATTTCAATTTTTTGTATTAATTAATCCAACCACTTTATTTCATCAATTCAATTAAATGTATATATATTTTTAATCATTTAATATAACCGTTGTTTTTGTAATAATCTTTACCAATGTTTTTCCTATCAATTAATGCGCAGCCATTCTTACCTGGAGATGTGCTGGCTTTGGGATGAGCTACCCTGGGTTTGCGTGTGAAGGAGTCAGCATTTTTTAGCTCATCACAAAAGCCAGAGGACTCCTGGACCTTCTGACCTGCTGCTCTGACTGGAGTGGAGACAGGAGTTGCTGCTGTGAGGAGACAGAAAACAGACATTTGTTAACACGAAAGTCATATGCAGTCGTTAGTATCTTTATCAATTAATTCTGTGCAATGTTTGGAAAACAGGATCTAGCTGGAACAACAATCACCTGCTGGTGTGTTGGTCTTCTTGGCTTGGATCGGTTTGGAGGTTATAGGTTTGGAGGTTATTGGTTTGGAGGTTATTGGTTTGGAGGTTATTGGTTTGGGAGCAGCTGAGCTTCCCGCAGTCTTGACCGGAGTGGAAGAAGGTGTAGAAATCTTCTGACTCGCTTCCAGCTGCTGCTGCAACCGCTGCATCTTCTCCTGCATTTGCCTCAGCTCATCTGAAGAAGCAAAACATAGAATAGAATAGAATTGGAGAATGAAACCCTCTTCCAACCTCAGAGCACATTAAAACCACTGTGAACATTCATAAACACACCTCCGCCCCTCAAAGACTGCAACCACTACTATTTAGAAATATTTATGGCTACTTTACTTGCATCCTTTGGTTACTATAACCCTTTATGAACACACGGTTAGAAATACACTACATTTATACAGTTTTGTACATTTAACGTTTTTAGACTGCAAGTGTAAATATGCACATTGACATTGAATTGTATCTCGTTGCACTGTCATCACTACTACCTCTGCTTTTACCACTCTTATTTAATTATTTATTTGGGTCTGTTTTTTACAGCAGTGAGAGTTGCCAAATAAATGTTGTTGTACTTTGTATTAGGGCTGCTCAATTAATCGTATTTGAATCGTGATTACGATTATGGCTTGCAACGATTACGAAAACAACGTAATCGAAATAAAACGATTATTTTTTTATTATTATTATTATTATTTTTGGTTTTTCAGTTGAATTATACTTAAAAAAATTCTCCAATAAATTGATGTTTTCAAAGTAAATGGATAATCGTTTTTAATAATCGTGATATCAATTATTGACCCAAATAATCGAGATTATGATTTTTGCCATAATCGAGCAGCCCTACTTTGTATGATGACAATAAAGCACACAGCACACAGTGAAATCTCACCTCTGCATTTAACCCATCCTAGTACTAGGAGCAGTGGGCAGCTATTGTACAGCGCCCGGGGAGCAATGGGAGTGGGGGGGTTGTCCGGTGCCTTGCTCAAGGGCACCACGGCAGGGCCCAGGAGGTGAACTGGGACCTCTCCAAGTGGTAATATATAATATGCTATACACTACATCGCACATCAACTTGAGGAGACTTCAGTGGCACAAACCTTGCAAGTCCTCCTTGGACTTGTTGAGGATGTCATTTGTTTTAGTGTCTTCTCCTTCATTTTCAATGTCATCCACATCTCCAAAGAGATCCGTCGCTACATCTTCCGTCGCCACATCTTGCTTTTCCTCCTCCACGCCATCTTTGTACTCTTCCTCCTCAGCATCGTCTCCGTCGAACAGGCCGTCCAAGTCGTCTGCCTGCTCCGGACCCCCCTGTTCTTCTTCGACCCCCTCGCTCTCAGCCAGCAGCGCCGTCAGAATGTCCAGATCGTCCTCACCTGTACAGAGAAGACATAAACTGAGTGTTTTCATCTGTTCATAGAGCTGGACTTTAATGTGTTTTAAATAATAAAGCTTTATTTATATAGCACTTTTCATACAGCACGTGCAGCTCAAAGTGATTTTCAAAATGGCACACATCACAAGTTAAAAATAAGATCAGATGTTAAGATTCTAATAAAAGTTAAACGATTAAAATATTAAAAAACAGACGTAAAAATAAATGTTGCCATTGAAACTGTTAAATAAATAATATAAGATGAAACCCTTTAAGACCTATAAAATAAATATAAAACAATATAAAAGTAGGTAAATAATAAAGATTAAAAGACAATTTAAAAGGGGGGGGGGTTGCTAATAAAAAGCTAATCTAAAGGCCATCATACTTACTGTCCATTTTAGGAAAGTTGGTGATGGGGCTGATTTCAGATGATCTGGTAACAAAAAAGCAGATCACATATTATTGTGAGGAGTGATGGAAAAACTTTAATAACCTCAAAATAAACTAGATCTGGCCTGCTTTCTCTTCCGAATAACAAGAATTTTAAATATAATACTTTACACTTAAGTGTTAAACAGTCTAAGATTTGACAAAGAAATGAAGGCGTTAATTCAGCATCTCTGTCCTACGAACCAAATGTCACTCATCTTGCATCCCTTTTTTTTTTTAAATCACATTTTAATGTATGTTTATTTGTGCAATATTTTCTTACATCCAATATGTTTAGTTAACATCTATGTTTAAGACTCTCGTTTAAGTTTTTATGTTTTATTTGTACATTTCCAGTTGCTTGCAACACATTGTAAAATGAACCAATACTCTTATGCAAGCTGAAATGTGGATACCAAAAGCTGAATCAAAGGTTTTCTACATAGATGGATTTGTCATTCAATCAGTATTACACTACATTATACTGTAAATTATAACACAATGATATATTGAGTTAATTAAAGGTTCAGTCAGTGTTGGCTGTTACTGTTACCCACTGTTTGTTCTGTGACTGTATACACATTGACTGCATAAACACGGTAGCCTATACAAATTAACAGTTTAAAAAGTGTACACTACAGGGCATGTTTTAATGTATATTTGAGTGTAACAGCTTGTATCCCTGGGAAAGTCCAAATGAAACAATCGCCTTTTTTCTCTTTCAAATGAATCAGTCCATGTATGTATGTGAGATAATGAAACGTACCTCTGGTTCCGCTGTTGTGTCCTTTTCTAGTTTTATTGCAACTTTTACAGCTACGTCCAACCTGTCAATACGTTGCTTTGTCACCAAGGAGCACTACGCGTAGTTTTGCAAAAGTAACAGGTTATTTTAGACACGATTACAAGCTAATCTAGTTTTATTGACAAGCTGCAGCCTGCAGCGAGAGGGAGAAGTCGAAACTGGCGCTAAACTAAGGGCCCCTCCGTGTTGTCAAAGCTCCGCCAGCTGCCCAGTGATATGCCTGAATAGAAAAGTGTATATCTTTTTTTAACGGTAAGCCGATCATGTTTTACAATGATGTACCTTGTTTTGGTTTGTTGAAAAAATTAGAAAATCGTGTTTTAAATGTATTTGTATAATTACACATACAGATTCAGAGTACAACGTCTCAATATACATCTATATTTCTGTTGCTGGCTGCAGTTTTCTTCGGTTTTTTATAGATCATTGTAATTTATCCGCAATTTTTTATATTGCGTATTATTTGTGATATATCGCTCTTCTACTGTAGAATATTTATATTTTCTGTTTATTTTTTGATTTGATTTTTGATTTGATTAAATATTAAATAGTTGTATTGAACACACTGCTGCTCCTGTAACACACACACACACCCCCCCCCCACACACACACACACACACACACACACACACACACACACACACACACACACACACACACACACACACACACACACACACACACACACACACACACACACACACACACACACACACACACACACACACACACACACACACAGTAATCTCAGTAATGGTTTAAGCTCAAATGATCAATATACAAATAAAACAAGTGTTTTTTTTAAATACCTGGTCGGAGTCATAATCCTTCAGGTTTTGTTATTTCGCAATATAACGAAAACAGACAGAAATGAGCAGATATTTTTATTTTATTTCAGAGAATTACAACAGAATCAGAATTTCTCCTATAATCAGCAGGGTATTGATGCCTCCTGCTTATAGACATACAAAAGCTACCATACACAGTGATAGGCTGATTAACAAGTTAAATACATTGCATTTTAATTTACAGGTATCACCCACTGAGTCAAAATAAAATACATGGTATATTTTCTTTATAATAAAGTGCCTACATGTTTCGTGCTGTCTTTCCCACCACCACCAACAACAACCATTAGCTAAAATATCCTCTCAAAGGAAACAAAGATTAGGAATTTCAAGACAATACAAAAAAATAGCCTTCTGCAACCAAATACTTGGTTAACCAATAACAACTGTAAAGGCTGAATTTAAGTGTGCATGACAGACAGCTCATTGCTCAAATCGTATCAAAGGGTTTGAACTGTTCATCTACAGCTTGGTTCCAGTCAAATGACAAAAGCAAAAGGAAACCCAGTATTTTGTTATAGTCCAAATCTTTATAAGCAATCCTCAATTATATTTAAATGAAGTTGTGTTGCTATACCAGAGGGATAGGGCCTCATTCACAAACCTTTCTTAAGGAGAGTTTTTTTTTTTAAAACCCACTTACACAGCTTTTGCAAGACCCTCTTTAGACTTTATTCTGTACAGTCTTGCCTTTTCTCTTCACTGAAACAGAAACTGAAGAGTCTTCAGTCCATTTACCTGCTTATCAAGATCAACTGGCAAACTGCTTCAGATTACGAAGACAAACAGAATCGTTATGAACAACTCTGCGGGTTAAGAACACACACAACTTTGCAACAAACTTGGTAAGATATATTGGTGAATGAGGCCAATGCGAGTCTCAGGGATATGAGAGGAGGTACAGATAAAGAAGGGGAAGACTCAGATTATTGTTGTTGAAGCTTGTAATGGTGGTTTTCTAGATGATGCAGTCCATGATGTGGATCTGCAGGGAGTCCAGGTCTGGCAGGACCTCATTGCACTTCGGACAGGCGTGTTCGGGAATATTCCCCTGATGCCAGTCAGTTCCTGAGAGTCAGAGACACAGATTATAACCTGAACATGCTGAACACACAATGTCAATTAGGAAACAGAGGAAAACTGTGATGCAAAAACAGTTTTTTTGTGGAGTTACGTGCTTGTATTATTTATAATTTGCCAAGTGTCAACTGTCAACAACCTCCAAGTAACAATAAGACAAGAAATAGTTCCTGCTAGCCGTTTCCTTCCTCCAGTCTTTATGCTAAACTAGATTATAACCTGAACATGCTAAACACACATAGCTGTAAGCAGCTAGTAAACCTAGCTAAGCTGTCAATTAGAAAACAGAGGAAAACTGTGATGTTAGAGCTAGAACATCTCCTCCTTGAGTCCAATATTGACTGTTTGGGAATATCGGAATCTTGGCTAAAACAGTCGTCACCATCCACTCTTGTATCTATGTCAGGATATAATGTGTTTAGGAAGGACAGACTGAAGGGAAAAGGAGGGGGTGTGTTGCTTTATGTGAGGAATACCTTTACCTGTAGGGAGATTGCACTCCCAGCTAATATTGTGTTTAGCATGTTCAGGTTATAATCTTCAGGCTACATATGCATACACACACACACACACACACACACACCACTCTCGGGCCCCCTGGTAGTCACACGGCTCCATAATATAACTGGCAAAAATGTAAGAATGTAATGCATCGGCCTACAGTGGGAAAATGGTTTAATCTGTTGGAATAGAGTAGAAATATCAAATATCACTACTTTTCTTCTAAATGAAATGCTGACATTACAAAATGCATGGTTTTATACTGCAATGGCAGTGAGATCAACAAATGTGGTCTGAATGGAAGTCAATGAGGCATTTTTGTAATAAATAATGAAATAATTCAAATAATTAAACAGGCATTTAAAGGGTTAAAATCCAGAAAAGTATTGAATGTTTGCTAGTTCTGAGTACGTTATAAGTTGTTTATGTGATTCATGAAACAAAAAGTAGAAAGAAATATTGATATATGATTTAATAGAAGTTATTATGGACGTGTACATTTTTGCCACGAAGGTGTCCAGAGGTAGTATCTGACACTACGTACAAAATAATAATGCAGTGAAATCAATTTTGTTGCTAATCTTTGACACATCCAAGACTCTAATAACCACCAAAGTTCCATCCCTCTACTAATTATTATATTGAAAGAAATTCATTTTTTGTGTTTTTTTGTCATAAAGAATGAAATAATTCAAATAATTAAACAGGCATTTAAAGGGTTAAAATCCAGAAAATGATTGAATGTTTGGTAGTTTTGAGTACGTTATAAGTTGTTTAAGTGATTCATGAAAAAGTAGAAAGAAATGTTGATGTATGATGATTTAATAGCAGTTATTATGAGCGTGTACATTTTTGCCACGAAGGGGTCGAATGGTTGAAAATTTGAGGACGGCACAAGGGTTAAGTGGAAGTATGCCAGGAAGACAATGCTCAGGAAGTATAAACACAGCTGTACCTCTCCCAACCAGAGAGGCTCCGGCTCCGTGTGGATTTCCTCCCAGTGACACATGTCTCTTCTGCATCTCGGTCAGCGAGTGCCTGTGGACAAACACAAGGCAAATCATTCTAATTATTTATGATGTGAATGATAAAGTGATTAGCCATGGGATTTATGCTTTGAATATCTAATACGCAAACAAATCAACTATATACTTGTTTATTATCATGCAAGATTTCCCACGTGTCCTTGTTGCCCTCATGATGCAGTTGTTCCCACTCACTGTTTACAGCTAGTGTTAAAATTGTGTTTGATTCCTCACCGGCCCAGCGAGTCCATCTCGTCCTGCAGCTGGTTGTTCTGCTTCTTCACATACTCCAGCTGAGCAGCCAGACGCTCCCTCTCCTCGTGGAGTTTCTCCCTCGCTTCCCGCTCTGCGTAGAAGTCCGAGGAGTAGACCTCAGCCTGCACAACAACAGAGCGCTTGATGAAACATCACTAAACTGATAGATGATAGATGACAGACGCTTGGCCTCACAGCAACTCACCTGAGCCTTGAACACGGAAATGGTCCCCAGTTCCTCCTCCTTCTTGAACATTTCCTGCTTCATGTCATCAATGTGGTTCTGTTTCGCAGCCAGGGCCTCTTCGGCAGCAGTCAGACGTTCCTGCAGCTGCTCTGCCACCTCCTTCGCCACCAGCACAGACTGCAACACCACATTTCACATACTTTAAACTGCAATTGGTCTGCTTTGGTTATCTGTTGCTAAAAGGCTCCTTGTTATGCTTCATAAACTGACCTCTCTCTTCTTCTTCTCCTCTTTGAGTTCATTGTAGTCTTCAAACAGCTTGGTGTAGGCATCCTTCAGAAGGGACATGTTGTTCCTGTAAGGAAAGGAGGAAGGAAAAAGGGAGGAAGGAAGGAAGAATGGAAGGAAGAGAGGAAGGGAAGAGGAAGGAGGGAGAGGGTCAGCATTAAAATCAGTGACATAAAGAAGTATAAATATATAATGTTATTACTGCGTAGTAAAAAAAAAGTTAGGATAAGTGTTCATGTGTATGCACGCGTGAGTAAGTGTGTGTGTGTGTGTGTGTGTGTGTGTGTGTGTCATCGGACCTCTCCTCTTCAGTCTTCCTCTGCTCCATCAGGTTCTGAGCCTGCATGCTGTCCACCTGCAGCTTCAGCCGCTCGTTGACAGAAAGCACTTCCTGTTTGTCGGCCAGCTGAGCCTTCAGAGTGACAACATCCTGTTCCACCTCCCGACACCTGTACGCAAGAGCAGAGATAAGGCACACAACGAACGGGGTTGGAAGTGTCATTGTTGTTCCTTTACTACATGTATTACACATTAAGACAGTGTGTGTGTGTGTGTGTGTGTGTGTGTGTGTGTGTGTGTGTGTGTGTGTGTGTGTGTGTGTGTGTGTGTGTGTGTGTGTGTGTGTGTGTGTGTGTGTGTGTGTGTGTGTGTGTGTGTGTGTGTGTGTGTGTGTGTGTGTGTGTGTGTGTGTGTGTGTGTTGGTCTGACCGGTTCTGCAGGTTCTTCTTCATGCCTTCTGCTTCATCGAGCTTGGACTGGGCATGCTGCAGTTCTTTGAACAGCGTCATCATCTGAGACTTCATGTTCTCCACCTCAGATGCTGCCTAACATATTTGCACAATGACACACAAACATTACAATAAGGAAACCTAACCTTGCACACACACATCAGTGGACCGCTACCTCTAAATACCTTTTCTTCTTTCCCAGAATCCTGCTTGGGCTCTGTGGGCTCTGCTTGGGTGGTCTGTGTTGATTCATCCACAATAGACTTCCTCTCCTCCAGCTCCTTTATTCTGTCGGATCATTTGTTTGAAAAAAGATATGTCAGAGAAATATGTCATTTACTGCAGATTTAGTCAGGTTTACAGGAAAAAGAGCAAGGAACCCCTAAAGGCCTGACTTCCTGTTTCTTGCTAAGCGCTTTAGCTTTCATGATGTACTATAATTAGATTATAACATGGCGTTATAACAATGTTGTGGTGCCGTACCTGGCGGCGGCAGACTGCAGCTGGGTCCTCAGCCCCTCGGCCCGCTGCGTCTCGTCCCTCAGAGACTGCAGCAGCTGGCTGACGGTGGTCTCCTCGCCCTCCAGCCGGGACCCCGTCATGTTCAGCTCCGAGTGTCTGCTGCGCTCCAAACCACACACACTGTTCACGCCGTCCACACCTCCATCCTGAGAAGAGAAACAGCCAGACATTTGGTTTCCAGCCGTGTGTCATTCCATCGAAATAGTAGATAGAAATCGGATTCTTCGCTATTGCATGTTATATTTGCTTAACTACTCACGGAGACTTTGAAGACCTCGATGAAGGAGTCCTGTGAGTCCTGCTCGGCCTTCAGCTGCAGCTCAGAGTTCATGGCCACCAGGTCGTTCTTCTCTGCCTGCAGGCGAGCAACCTGGGCACGCAGGGAGTCCAGCTCCGCACTGTGATTGGACGACGCAGCCTGGAGACGACATCACAGAGAAAGAACCAATTTAGTTACGGTAATTGAGGAACACGTAATAAAAGGAAGATCATTTGAATAAATTGTAACAGTTAATAATTAACAAATGACCAGTTACACCCTCACCAGCAGACCACCTCCTGCCCCCCCCTCCTCCTGCTTCATCTTGTTCAGCTCCTGGTTTTGGACTATCAGCGCCTCCATGCGCCCTCGAGCTTCCTCCAGCTTGCACTCCAGGAAGTTCCGTTCCTCCTTCTGCTTCTCCCGCCACGCTGACAGACCCTCAAAACGCTCCTTCATCGTTATGTTGGTCTGCCGCAGGGCCTCTGAGTAAAAGACACACACGGAGAATTTGAATTATAACCTTTACAATAGCTATTATAACTCTCCTGAAAGCTGCTTATCACATTAAACTTCCCTGACAGGAACACAACGTCTCCTGCCCTTTGACCCTAGCCACTGTGGCCACGCCTCATTACAGCATTATAGCAGCAGGCCCTAACACACAGCTGGTCTCACCTTTCAGGTCCCGGTTCTCCTGGATGAGCTTGTTCATCTGCGTCAGGGTTTCCTCCTGTGTGCCGCACTCAGTGTGAGAGCGAGAGATGTCGCCATTCATCACGGGGCCTTCAGACGCCATGATGCTGAGAGCAAAGGGATTCAAGAATAAACGAGAGCTTGAAAATTGATATAATATTGCTAAAGACACAGTAACTATCAGAGGAAATAGTGCAGGTGAACTTCATTTAAACCTTCATACGTCTTATATCTAATAAACAACAATTCAATGTAATGAAGACCCTCTCACTTCCTCGCTTGTCAATCACTTTGCTTATCTGCACTCATCATGCTTTGTGTTGTAAAGTAAATTCTAAATACTGTAATTAAAGCTGTAGCAGATTTTCTGTTTGGAATATTGGAAATATCTGTATGGAGAAAAGGATTTATGTCCCACACCATGAGTTACAAGGTGAAGAAATGAAACCATTGACGATATGACATCAGCAGAAAAGCAGCATACACGATCCAATCAGGAAACCACGTGACATCCACTTGATGACTAACAATAATAAAGCTGTATGTTAACACCCTGTGGTGTACTGCCTTCTTCAACTCACGCGATGACCAATACTTAATAATACCAATAATCACCAATAATAATACTAATAACAATAAATCATTGCCATCATAATAATAACAATACAGGAAATATCATGGCTCAACTTAACACAGTGAACACAGTGGGAAATATGCTACTTTAAAACTGCCACTGAATACTACACACGTTCCAGATGTAGAAATGGGTATATATTTGTTTATAAATAGACGGACAGTGTTACTTTCGCTTTCTTCAGGCGGGCCTGTCCGATGGAAACACTGAAAAGTTACAGTAAATTACACAACACGGATGTACTTTAAAGTGCGTCACAGCAACGAAAGACAGGAAGAAGAGTTAGTCTCACCTGCTGAGGACCTGTAGCTGCTGTCAGTCTGATGGTCAGAGTTTCACAGCAGCAACAACAACAACAGGACAGCCGGACAGTCTGTCAACCTTCAGGTGCTGCTGCTTGTGGATCAACGTCGAGAAACAGAGCACTTCCGGTGAGCGCTTTCAAAAATAAAAGCAGGTTATACCACTTTCAGAGGTAGAATTATTCAACCCTTTGAGATGAGAAAAACGTTGGCTACTAGTAATACCACAGTGTTCAAGTACACACAATCTCTGGTGCAAGAAAAATATAAATGTTTGCTTAAGTACATTTACAAAACTATTAGCATCAACATACATTTTCAAACTTTATATATAAGTAACACATTATTGGTTTTATCCAATGATATGAAAGAACACTTTCTTTTAGCCTAACAATTCTATATTTGGGAAATAACTTTATTCTGTTGTAGTCAATCCAATTATTCAATTATATTCTAATTATTGTATCGAATGTTATTGTTAATCTAGGTTTTGTAATGTAAGGGAAATGTATTCAAGCAGCTCAAATGTATGCTCTTATTGTGAAAGCTAATGTGTCTTACATCCTGTCCATATGAAACTAACGAAGGTCTCTACTTCCTTGCAGTGACGTCGCTCATCAGTTGCACGTGAGGGTGGGAAATTCCCTCCGGAGTCACCCTGTAAACAAACTGAAAACACGAGACTTACATAATAATTGTAATATATATGATTTGAAAAAACAAATAAAGTTGACTGTAAAATATAAATGAATTGCAAAAAGCTCATAAACATAAGCTAAAACAAAGCCTTTATATGTATGTAATAAATGCATGTTGTTCATGTCAGTGTCCAGTAGATGGCAGTGTTTTATAAGCTTAAATTCAAAGCTGCAAAGATTCACTCTGATGTAGTTGCCTGTAGTTAAAGCAAAGTGCCAACTGGGTGTCACACATGCACATGAGTGTCAACCATTAGTATCTTTGAAATTATATTTTAAAAGTAGCTTGTGTTTCATAACTCATTCACATTATTGATAAAGGGTTACAGACTGACTGAGAGGAGGTGTTGACAGAGGAGGTGCAGAATAATAGAGGTGGTGCAGACTGACAGAAGAGGAAGAGCAGACTGTCAGAGGAGGTGCATACAGAGGAGGAGCATGCATCGGTAACACAGGAGAAGGTTGGAGTGCAATATGTTTCTGCAAACTGATCTGACCCCTTTAAGGACTCTGGGATAGAGGAGATGTGAGTCTGCAGGTGGTGTTAATGGACCAAATCACTGTGATCGAATTTGTTGTCGTTTTAATTACTTTGTGATTAGTGCTTTTGGATCCATGAAACCATTACATGTCTGGTTCCATTTTTTAACTCTACTTCTGTAACTTGGCTGCTTGGATGGACTGCCCTCCAGCATGAAGTAGACACATTACATTTTCTTTCTCAATTGAAGCATCACCACCGGGTTTAGACCAGACCTGTAACCCTTCTGGAGGTCTTCAGAATGTTTCCCATGTCTCTCCTGCTCGCAGCGCTTGGCGTTTTTGCGCATCTGGAAACTTTTACGCACGGCTGCCAGCTCCCCTCCGAGTGGCGGCCGCTGAGCGAGGGCTGCCGGGCTGAGCTGGCGGAGATCATCGTGTACGCCCGAGTCCTGGCGATCCACCGGGAGCCCCTGGGCGGCGGGGCGGGCAGCCTGTACAACTCGCTGCCCTTCGGCTTTGGGGATGGGTACGAGGGCGCGGAGGAAGGGCTGCTGTACTCCGCGGAGGTGGAGATGCTGTGCGATCAGGCCTGGGGCAGCATGCTGGAGGTGCCCTCTGGATCCAGGCTCAACCTTACCGGACTGGGATATTTGTCGTGCCAGTCCCACACCGTGATGGAGAACAACTCCTATTTTTTCTTCCTCAGGTGAGCTGCAAGGCCTGCCTGGACACATTTATCTAAGTAGTTCAAACTGACATGGGGCTTAAACACCAATTCAAACTGCACCTACAACAGTTTAGAGTAAGTTTTATTGTTGCAATTCAAGTTAAACAGCATCCTATTTGCACTTTGCAAAACAATCTTGAACTAACAGGCACAACATCTAGTTATGCTCTTTGTTACAGTGTATTTCCATTAAGTGAGACTTTAAATATATTTATTATCACTGTCATCTATCAGTCTGCTCTAGTTGCTACTTATGTCGCAGAAGAACATTTGACAGGCAATGCTAATGTTATGCTCATTAAATATCTTTAGATAGCATTCCTTGCTTTTGAACTGCGTCAGCCATTAAAACAGCTCCTTCTGTACATCCCAGTACTATCTTCTCAGTGTTTATCTCCTCTGCAGGATGGATGAGAACTACAACATCCTCCCCCATGGTGTCAACTTCCAGGACGCCATCTTCCCCGACACATCCGACAACAGACGCATGTTCTCCAGCCTCTTCCAGTTCTCCAACTGCACCCAGGGGAGCCAGCCTTTCCACACCTTCAGCCCTGAGTGGGAAAACCAGGAGGACAGCAGGGTAGGACACCACATTGTTGGTCTGCACGGTTACCATGGTACCAAGAGTTGTAACCCTCAGAACTTCCATGCAGCATGATGAGTTTAAAAAAATATATATCTTCTTCAGTCAGGTCAGCTTTTCTGTTGTTTACAGAGGAAGTAAACAAACCTAACACCTTCTCTTTACCACTGATATAACAGATTGACAGTCAAAAACACACACATACACACCTTTTTCAAAACAATAGAGGATTACTTTGGTAGTGAAAAGTTGATGAAAAAGATTCCAGTCATGGGATTGGTCACATGCTATAAACAGTTGAAGATTAAAGCAGTTGCTGATTGGTCGAGGTCCAGGTCCGGCTCCTCAGGCAGACAGGATACTGGCCTATCCAGAGGTCAAAGGTCAAATAGCACAGATCCTCATCCTGGACAGGCAGCAGTTTGAAAGTGTGTCCGTCTGCAGCCTGTGTTTCTAATAGCATGAAGCAATCGCCCCTCTGAGGGAGTTGTGCGGGTCACACTTCAGACAAGACAGGACACGGCCGCTGCACAAGTCTTTGGCCTCAATTAGGAAGGATACCAGGGCAGCTGTTGAGCTTTTCCTTCTGTTGCACTATCATTACAGCAACTTCAAAATCACCGGGTTTGTGTGAGAGTTGTAGACTTTTACTAAGTAAAGACACAATATTAGGGTCTGCAACATGACAAATACTTGAGTGCTGTCGGTTTTGACTTCATTTAGAGCTGACTTCTAGGCTAGATCACTCAAAGTCTTTGCTAAGAAGTGCCAAGATCCACTGGTACCCTCCTGGAAGAATAACAAATACATATAGTGACAGGCAGGCCTTGACTTTGAGGAGGACGGGTTAATGCTTCCCAAATGAATTTATGGCATTTTGTTTATCGTCAAGTCAAAAGTTCAGACCTTGAGGAGTGGTGCAGTGGTTGGCGTCTTCCTCTGGCTTCCTTCACTGCTATGCCCCGCAGGCTGTAAGGAATATAGTAAAGATGAGTAAAGCAGAAGCCGCTCGCTCATTTGGAGGACGAGCACTCGCATGTAGACCTCCGGGCATGGCGGGACAAAACAGGTGTTTTGTACCAGGAATGTGTGGAGGATGATGAGATGGAGGGACATCCTGGCACTATCTCCATGTTTCCTTTGCCTTTTTTTTTATCGGATTAAAGGCATTAGACTTATGTTTTGCTGGTCTCTAATTAAAATGTAACATCACTATCTTAATAAAGGATCTTCGGATGTCTCTGAGCTGAGGTTTCCATACATGGTTCAGCTAGAGTTTAAACATCAAGCATCCCGTAAAGTTGTGTGCTTCTGGTTTTAGCCTCGTGGGAAACAGACACCCCTCCAAAAGGAAAAACTAGAGACTTCCTCCACTTCTCTGCCAGAACCTCTAATTAGCTTCTGTCAAAGCCTCCTCTTATCAGCAGGGCAGCTTTGACCATGATGCTGCTGTAGGCCAACTGTTTATTACAGATTTCCTTTTTTCTTTTATTTCAGAGATTCTGTCTTTTTTCTGATTATCTGTTGCACTTAGGTTACAGCAAGATAGAGGCAAATTCTCCAAATACTTCTTCATCAGCACAATTCCAATGTACATGCATTATAATGATTAGATTGCAAGGGTTACTCCAGTCATGTTAACACTTTTAACACGTTTTCTGACTCTCATTAACCTTTTATGCTACACAGTCTGCCTCTTCAGGAGTTACAGCTTCCACTTGTTCCGTCACACACACACTCAAACACACACAAAAATTAAAGTTAAGAGAGAAACCCTGGCTTGTGTATTTGACGTCAATGGTGAGGCTTTAAATACATGAATGTGTTTGTGTATGTGTGTGGAATGGAGTGTGTGCAGGGTTGTTTTGTGTCTTTTTATTAAGTTGGAAAGAGGAATCAAAAGTCTGCAAAAAAAAGGGGGCATTGATCTCCTGGCACAGTTAGGGGTCCGTCTAATTATGACGTATCTGCAGACAACTTTCTCATATGACACCAGTGAGACTCAACGAAAGACAGTTAAACCAAAACCATTAGCTGAAAAAAGCAAAAACATGCAGCTCGACAGAATACTGTCTCTATAAACAACATTATGGTTATGTGCAATGCGGCTTTATATGCATTTCAATTAATTTTGAAAATATAAGACCTCCTTAATTATTAAGTAAAGTGTTTGAAACTAAAGACACTCTGTTCCTGTGTTAACATATTCGTATACTTGAATATGAGGACATTTTGTACATGTATATGCCTTTACATGTCTTTTAAATTCTGTTTATACAGATGATGCTTAACAGCAGGCAGGTACTACCCGGATGTTTTGACAGGTGCTGGTAGTGTGTGTGTGTGTGTGTGTGTGTGTGTGTGTGTGTGTGTGTGTGTGTGTGTGTGTGTGTGTGTGTGTGTGTGTGTGTGTGTGTGTGTGTGTGTGTGTGTGTGTGTGTGTGTATGTGTGGGCCGCCCCACTGAGAGTCTTCCTTTGAGCGTGAGGCAGTGTTGGAACTGTTTAAAAAAAACGTACTGATTTTATTTAATCTGGATTTGACTTTTGTTTGGATAGATGGGGAGAAAGGGACTTCCCTTAAAGGCTCAGTTGTTGTTTTCAAGGTTTTCAGATAACCATCTCTCTCATGTCTATGCTTCCACTGTGGTCATTGTATTTAGAACATTAAAACTACATTGGAAAAAAATAAACATGAATCCTTTGTTGCATGTTAGAATAACAGCATTCACCTTACTCCACAGAACTCACTGTAGAACTTTTTACAAAAACTTTCCTTAGCAACACTATCTCCAATGAAAAGGTTACTTTTATTGTAGCTGGCCCTTTAATACAATGTATATAGTATTTTCAGAGAAATAAAAACACTTTTTGCATTTAATTTTTCATAGCATGCTCAATCTTCGGGCTGTGGACTGTATATCTTAGCAGAACACCGCCCATGATTATACATTATTTAGATTGTCCTAGGTTTGTATGATACTTTGAGTGCAGTGGAACGTGAAGACACATGCTTTCCCTTGTTAACCCTTCTGCCTGAGGTCAGCTTTGGTCTGAAAAAAGATTAGGGCCCCTGACATCGAAGTGCGTGACCCTCATATTGTCTGGAAAGGAAGGGAGGAGAAGGGGGTGAAACATTAATATGACACAGACACCACTGGTCGGTAGTGAGCTTGTGTGGATAAATGTAAATGACGAGGGTCAGGACCTCCACTAGTTCCTCATCCTCCTTCCATCCAAGTGTGTGAGGCTGCAGAGGAGAAAAACAGAGCTGTGGACATCAAAGGAGCAACTGGTTCTTTACAACAGTTTGGTTTGCCTGTAAAGATAACAACCCTTCTGATGTTAACATATTTTCGGTTTTCTCCAGCTGCTGTGCTCCTCAGTGCAGGCCGCACTCTTCGAGGAGGAGGAGCGAGGCCGCAAGATGCAGGAGCGCCTGGAAGTGGCGGAGAGGAGGAACCGGCAGCTGAAGGAGCGCGTTCGGAAGGTGAAGCGCTCCCTGAGGAAAGCCCGCAAGGCGACACGCAAGGCCGAGCAGGAGGCAAAGGAGCTGAAGGAGAGGATGAAGGATGCGGAGTGGAGGGTGGGGCATCACCTCAACTCCATCACACCGGAGGAGCCTAGACCTGGGCGATATGCAAGCACGACGATACGTAAGAGAATGAAACTTTAGTTTTAACCTGACTCTTACTGCCTGCCACCTGGACTGAAACATGGCCGTAGAGGACCAGAGACTGCTGGGCGGTCTCTGTGTGAGAGACAAAGAAATAGAAACTGTCACAAAGAAAGTAATAATGTACGTAGATTTTTTGTAAAGAAACGTTTTCTTATCTCTATTGGTTCCCTTGTTGCTATTATACAAAAGCGATGTTCATTCCTGGCTATCACATGTTTCCCTGGAAGAGAATAATTAGTTTTTTCCGTGATTACTCTTGCAGGTGGAGCATTACTGATGCTCTGCTGGATTGTACAATTGGACACACTAGCCGCTCTGTGCTTGCTCAGGCCGTGATCACAAACACAAAACAAAGCTGAGCAGCCTGGTCTCCGAAAATGTTTGTTCTCATACCACTAAACCCTGTTGTCATTCTCGTCGGTTGAAACACATTCTGTCTAAGATTACATTTGTTTAATGTATCACAAATATGTTTTTAATTAAAGCCCAAATGTTGTACCTAACTTCTGTAACCTGAGTAAGGTAACAAACGTGACTATACTCCCTCAGAATATACATTTCCCTTGATACATAATTGGGAATGCAGTTTAGTTGTTTATATTTTTTAGGAGACAGTGTTGAGCTTTGATAGTTACAGCAGGAGATTTTTGCATAACTAAATAAAAAATCCTTAAGATTTGGAAGTCTGGATTTGGAAATACTTAATAGCATAAAATGTTACACATTGATGCAGCTTTTTGAAACATATGTAAGACAATTTGCAACAACTAAACACCTGGTGAACCAATGTTAAGCAACATTACTTTTGAATGATTAATCAACTTTCCCTGACCTACTGTGAGCAGAAATGTATGAAACTAGGAACATTCATTTATTATTATTAGTTTTTTTCAAGTTTGAAACATGAGCTTGTATATGGATATTTTTGTATGTATGTTTTTTGGATAAATATTGAACTTGGATGAACATCTGTGCGTGACTATGTTTAACAAAGACCATTAACATCTGGGTCACTGGGGTACAAAAAATAACAAATAGCCACACGCACTAAGCGGATCAGCATCACGCAGAGAGTGTTAAGAGAGGTTAGGATCATAGGAGACATTGTACATGTGTGTGTGTGTCTTACAGGGAGAGAAAGGGATGTGTGTTTGCGTGTGTGTGTGTGTGCATGTCTGGTCCATCAAGTGACTGGAATGTGTTTGTGTGGGCAGCAATGTTCTGAACAGCAGGATGTCGCTGAAATATTCTTCTGATTCAGTCTGGAAAACTTAAACTGTGGAGGGAGGAGAGGAGCCGTCACATCACAAGACCACTTCAAATGCAAGAAAACAGATCAGCCACACAAAAGGCGATGGATAGAGTCGTATGCATTCATCTCTTCTGGCAAATAATCAGCCCTCAAGGAAAGCAGAACTCTTCTGATACCAAAATATTGTCCCGTTTCCTACAGAATCTGCATTCATAGAGATTAGCATGAAAGTAACACAGGTACAAGAGGAACTGTACCTTAACCCTGCAGCAGCCAAACATGCATATCCAATGCTTAAAACAACTCGTTGCTAGCTCGGAAACTACCGGAAATGATTGCAGGAGTTACTATAATAAAAGAGACAGGAAGTTCAAGATTTGCGATGGTCTTGAAAGAGAGGTCAAATTGAGTATTATTGGCCTAGCAGTGGAAACGATGCCATGGTGGCGAAAGAAACACCCCCACAAGCCTGAAAAAAAACCAGGAGTCATGTTTCGACCATTCAGGATTTATTCAAGGACAAAGACAAACAAATCACAATCAGTCTTTCTGGCCTGTGTCATCATGGTAACTCTGATATGTGCACATGATTGTCGAAGGCATCTGATATACAAGCCCCATTAACAAAGAGCCATCTTCATCAACATCGTAGAACAATTAGTGCGCTCTGAGGAAGGAGGGTGTCGCCTGAGTGATGGCGGCGGTGCACAGGATGGGAGTTGTGGTCACATGCAGAGAGTAAATACAATACGGCGGCTCTGGACAGGACACCCACAGGGAGACACTGGGTCCCTACTCCCTAACAACAGCAAGTATCAAGTTTTAGTTCCACAAACAGTTTTCAGAGGTCGAGCTGCTCTCATTAGTTGCGTTAGCAGCTGCTAGCATAGCAGCTAACAAACCTAGCAACTCTTTCCCTCCATGAGAGATAATGCTAATATTGTGACTACTAAAGTGTTTAGCAACATACTTTATCAAGTATTCGCTTAACCTACATATGAGTAAATTCTTTGTCTAATTTCAAGATACCTTCAGATGTAGAACTTAGCAAACATAGCAAATATATTACTGTGTTAAACTCAGCAAAACATCCACGGCTAGCTAAGTAGCCTCAGTTGAAGCTATACAAGCTAATAGCTTCATGTCCTTGTTAAGTAAATATAGTCATATTCTATGTCATGAATAAGGCAATATTCCTTGTCATACAATTCAAATGGAAAAATCTTTATTTTAATAATTTACGTTCTTGCCATATCATTCCAACCCAGTCTCACGGCATTTCGTGTTATAGTCACGAAATTAATTTAATCTATTGATTCGTGTTCACCAACACGATTTTCGCATTTTTTTCGTGTCACACAGAACGATTTTAAAAGCAATGTATTTCTATTGGTAGTATGTTTCGTGCCTGCACCACATCTTTTTGTCCGGTCGGGTCTTGGAATACCAGAAGCTGTGTGGTTCATAAACACATTTTCTTACTCAATATCTTACCCTAAGCCTAACCCTATCCCTTTTATTTTAAATTGTATAATGTCTGAGTTTTTTTGCTGTCCGCAAGGAAAAGAAATGGGGCTCAGAGCCTCAGAATACTGAAATCTGTATTTTTTGTCATCTCTTTTTCCTTCTAATTTGTTATTATTTGGTGCAGGCACGAAACATACTACCAATATAAATACATTGCTTCTAAAATCGTTCTGTGTCAGAATACTGAAATCTGTATTTTTTTGTATCTGTTTTTCCTTCTAATTTGTTATTATTTACATTGCTTTTAAAATCGTTCTGTGTGACACGAAAAAAATGGGAAAACCATGTTGGTGAACACGAATCAATAGATTAATTTCGTGACTACAACACGAAATGCCGTGAGACTGTGTTCATTCATGTATGCAGGAAATCAGCTGGAATTCCCTCTTATAAGCAGACGTTTTTGTTCTCTTGATAAGTGCTAGTTAGCCCAAATATTTCCACCTATGGAAACTGTTTGTGGAGGTGAAACTCTGCTACTAGGTAAACTGGGATATCTCAACCTGTGTAAGTCTTTACATAATACAGATACTAACATCGTACAAGGGCATATAAGATTATGCAAACACTCATGGTGAAGTTGAATCTTTGAAGCACTTCTATCAACATGCATGTGTTTTTTTATCTTTTGTGATAGCATCTTGGTTAAAAAAAAAGGCGAAAGGGTGGACGAGCGCCGCTCCTCCTTAACAGTGTGTGTCTGATTCGGTCACAGCTTTGGATTTCTTCCGTTATAATGGCAGAAATGACAGCCTGAGTTCACTTGGTGATTGACGTGACACTGCAACAGTGATGGCGTTACACGGCAATGTGTAGCTCTCAGTCTCGTGTGGGACAGTATACATGACAGCAGACCGACCTTATTTTAACATTAAACATTCTATAGAGAATACAATCAACTTTCCTCGACACACTTACTCCCTCTCACATGCTTGAACAGCAAAACATCGGTACATTTTATGTTGAAAATTATTATTCATATTCACAATCTATTTACAGGAGAGATGTTAAGATTCATTCATGAATCTTTAAACAGCAGACATAAAGACCTAGAGCAGCCTAATACTGAACCCTCGTCCTGTTGGTAAACCTCATTTCCATTTCCAATTTTAGAGCATATTCTTACAGTGTTTGTTGACCATTCAATAATATATTTTTTGCCACATAAAAAACATGTACGACAATTTAAAATGGATTTCATTCAAAATCAATAATGCACTTTTTTATCCCCCTAAAATGTAAATGTTTTATCCTTATATTTTTGAACTATAGGTGCTGAAGTTTCCTAATTCCCCCTAAAATATTTTGGCGACACACTGTAAAAAAGAATGCATAGCAATCAAGTGGTTTGTATATATGGTTACAGTGAATTATCCGATTAGGTGATCATAATAAGTAAAGCCCTTACATGGTTTTAAGTTCCCCTAAGTAAAACAATATACCTCCATGGACTCTCTTTAGAGTTGGACCCTGCTCAAAACTTTCACATTAAAAATATGTTTCTGAAAGGTGAACTGTGTCCATGTGCAACGTTAACTTTCTCTATGACTGCACTTAATAAATAACAAAATAAATCAGCCTAACAGGCCTTCAGTTCACAACTAACCCTACGAACATTAATGAACTAAACCTATATTTTGACTGGATTAGTTGCTAGGAAAACTGCCATTATGTGTCTTTGCATCAATGCCAGTGCAATATTCACAAGGTATGAGGTGCTGAAGAAAACATAGATTGGATAGCATTCACACATGTCTTGTCATAGTTTGTTCTGGTCAACTTCAGTGGAACTTATCACACACAACGACTCAACCAGCCAAAAGGGATTTACTGTCTTTTTGCCATAAGCACTTTGCAGCACTCGGTGTAAATAATTTAAAAAAAGGTAAATGGCTACAGATTAGGTAAGGAACAAAGTGAATACATGTTTTCTCCAGATTAATTTGCAGCTGGAGTTCAGCCCTTAGTTTTAGTCGACTTGTGTCTCGAACAGCTTCATATCTGACTAGTTCTGTATTCGCCAATTCACCCAGTAGAACAAACCAAATGTCTTTGTTTCTAGCACTGGTCTTTGGCTACATTTCACAATAAAGGGATCAGAAGAATTGCATCATGACAATCTGATATGTGTGAGCATTCAACATTGTACAGTTCTGTCTTAACTGACATTTCCACCAGTAACGATAGACTGTGAAAGCTTGTGGAATCATGAGAAGGCTCCATCAAAAACAGCTCAAAATAAAGTCAGTCTGTCATCTCAAACCTAATGATCCATTGAACAGCAACTACTAGCCATTTTTGGACCATCTCATTTAAGTTGGAGAACCATGCTACGCTAACCAGGATTCCCAACAACTGCTCTTGGATCAAGCAACAACCAACTAATCCTCACTGTTGTTTTGGTAGTTCTGTCCAATTATGTCTAAGAGCTTTGGTGCGCTGTTCCAGGGTTCAGGATGTTATTAACAAAACAAAATGGACCAAAAATGCTGCTGATCAAGACACCTTTGAGTCTGGGGGTTCAAAACGTCTAGGCCCAAGTTTAAAGCTGCCTTCACATGACAAACGGTAAAAAGGCTATGGGCTGGCGTTGCCGTTGTGTTTCAATGGAGTGAGCTTTACCGCCCAACTAAGGTGACGCTCATGGCTCGATAATGTTGCAGTGCTGAAAGTTCAAATGACTTCCACTTTGACCTTGATTACCGCTGACCTTTTGACGTGCCGTGCTAAGCGGCGCAAGCTAGCAGATGAAGTAACCATAGAAACAGAACTTAACTAGCTGTTTCACCGTACAACTCTGCGCCCAACCTCGTGATGAGCGAAGAGCAAATGCTAAAAGTGAAGCTGGAATCAAGTATTTAAATGACGAGTCATTACAAAACTGCAATAAGGACACATCTAACAACGTAAGCCCCAGATCATATCTGTGATGGCTCGGTACCTGGACCAAATAACAGGAAATATATTTCCACCAGCTCACAGTGCAGCCGCAGCTTTCCCTGAGCACTTCTGAACTGGGTGCAGCTTGACGATGCTAAAGGGTGATATCATGGCTTCTCTAGAAGGCGCAGGACCAGCAGGCAACAGCTTCTCCATCTTGGATTTTCATCACACAGGTCAAATACTCTGAAGACCCTTGTGGGACATAGTAAGTGAAATATCACGTGTTTTGTGGCCATCTTCAAACTGCACTGCGCTGCTTGTATAGGAATACGAAGGCCAAGCTAACTTGTAGTTCCTTACATTCTCAACTGGAGGCAGAAACAAAAACGACCCTATACTAAACCTGCTGCATGCTCATCATATAACCTGTATGTGTGTCCCTTAAAAGGTGATTGTTATAAAAGTCTTATGAAGAAAGAAAATAATAGACAGATCAGTATCTTTTGGACAATAAATAAGTCACACAATGCTCTGACATCCTCTGTGATAAACACAAGAGGCTCACCTGACCCTTTGTAGCGCTTACTCATGGTTCCACATCTCAACAGTCGTATGGTACGTTTATAGCACTTCTTAAAGCACAAACAAACACAAAAAAGCCCATAAGAACATATAAAACACCTTAAAGATGATATATGTAGCTTTTAAACATGAATGAATCGTTGTCCCATTAGCTGCAACATTTGTAAAGTTATTTAAGCCTCTGAATTACACACAGTCACCAGGTCACATTTGGCTGCCAATTGTAGTGTTGATTAATCTAAATTCGATCAAAGTGGCAAGATCAATTTGACAATAATGTGCTTGCTTTTTGAAAAGTTACATATACCACCTTTGACATTTACATTAATATGAAATAAAACAATCCAGTTGTCAACACTCATACCTTATTTGGAAAAAGGCTAAATAAAGTGGTGCAGGAAAGACCAGATTAAAAAAGGAAGTTGAAGTTGAAATTGAATAATATGATAACACGGCCCCACCGTCAACCACCAATCACGGCTCAAGCTTGTGCCAGCGACGCCCCAAATAATTTACCAGCAACCAATTCAAGCTGGGCTTCCAAACATCCTCCTAATGTCTGTCGCCATGTGTCGCTGTGGCTGGAAGAATCCAACATGGCGTCCTGGTGGGGAAGCAGTGGGCGTACAGTATCAGCGGGGTGGAGGTAAAGTCCTCTGCTCTCCTGGGAGCAGGGCGGGGAACTTGCTGGGGGAAAAGCAGTGAGGAGAGGGAGAAACAAAGTCTTCCTCCGTCTCTTTCTGTCTCTCTACCTCACAGTGCTGTGGCCTCCCAGCTAGTTCTCCGCGGGACCTGGCGTCACTTGGTCTCTGTGAGCATCGGGGGGGTGACCACCGTGGGGTGTTGCCGGGTCAGATCGGCCCCGGCAGCGGGAGAGGAGGCTGCAGACGCCAGACTGCAGGGAGTGACCGGGGCAGCAGCATCTGAGAGAGGAAGTTGGCAGAAATGTTTTTTATAATGTAAATTGACCCTTGGCTAAGCTACACCTTCTCCATTACAGTAACTATGCCTTTCATTCTGGCATGGCACATGAGGAATACATTTCAGCAGATTTGTCCTCTTAGCATACCTGCCAAGACTAGGCTGTGAACAAGAGAGATTTTCTGCACTATGAGCAAATGGCCGACCCTCAACCAATCTGCCTTAATTTGAAGTTGTGCAGGAACGAGTCCTGAAACCCGGCAATGAGTTAGCATTTTAGCATTACCTGTTCCCTCCTCATTAAGTGAATGTTTTATGTCTGTGGTTAACACAAGTTAAGAGATTCCAATGTTTTGTTCTCCTCAACATCACTAAATACCCCATCATTTTGCCTGAAGCTTCTACAAGTTACTAAATAAGACTTCTAAACTCCATCGCGCCAAACGCGAGTCCACCTTTAGCTTAGCAGAGGCAGCCATGCGACCATGATGTAGTTCCTTTATAGCCTAACATTAGCTTTTTAACTACTGGAGATTGCATTTATGCTTAAAAAATTATGAGAATTGTGTTTATATGTGGAGATTATCTTGATAAAGAAAACCTGTAAGTATTGTAAACATGTGTTTACCACAGATCTTGTTTTCTGCCATATTCCGACATCTAATGGAGAAATGCATTCACGGTTGCTAAACTAAAATTGCTGTTATGTGGATGGGGTACATTTTATTTAGTACACATTTGTTCTATAGACTTTCTGGTGCTACTGATACTAATGACTTATACTCACTTTCTTTGTGGGGAACTGCTACGTTGTTTTCTGTGTTATCGGCTGTGTTAGCGCCCTGGCTCTGCGTCGCCTGGCCCGTGTTTTGGCTCTGGCCCGTCTGGCTCGGCCTGGTCGGCAGGTTGGAGGCGTCCATGCTGCTCCCCATGCTGCTGCCAAGCTGCAACCGCCTCATGTGCCGAACCACGGCGGTGGCATTGAACGCTTGCTGGAGAGGGAAATGAAATTGGATGATGAAAAGCTGGATGTGCCATTTAGACCCAGAGACAAACTGTGTGAAGAGCAGTTCTTAAGGAAAGTGTTACACCCTCCTCTGATAAAGAAGGGTAACTCCTAGCATTACGGTGGGGGAGTCATTCAACTTCTAAGAACACAGACACTTGTTTGAGGACTTGTACTGGAGTAAATTGCTGCAAAGGAGCTAAAACCACCCAAAAAAAATATGAGTAAACAAACCCTCCATTTGCTCTTGGCGAAGTTCTTTTTGATCTGCCGGCTCACTGACTCATGGATGTTCTTGCAGAGTGCTGTATCCCCGGAAATCCTTAAACACACACACAGAAATTCTCATTCTCAACCTTTCTGACTGTACATCTACTACTGATGTTATGTCTTAGTGTTATTCTGTGTGAGTGTGTTTCTCACCAGGGGTGTCTGAGCGCCTGATCACAGGTGAAACGCTTTTCTGGATCCTTTTCCATCAGACTGCCGATGAAATCCTTGGCTGGAAAAAAAACATGTTTTAAAGAGCCATAAAACGTCAGACAAACACCAGGCCAACTTGAAAGAGCCTTTTGAAAAATAATCTTGATGAAATCTATTTCAACTCATGTTAACCCATGCTTACAAAGACAACGCTGATGTTTAGCAGCTATAGGATTTACCATGCTCTTCATCTTAGTTAGTGGACCATGAAGGTATGTAAAAAAATCAATCAAACCAATAGTTGTTTAGCCATTTTGAACAAACTGCAAATACTCATGGTGGCGCACGAAAAATAAATCAGACGATTACACTATTCAACATGAATGTCTGTATAACGTGTATTTATGCAGTTTTTTACAACATATCAGAAAACTAACCCCCCCCCCCCCCCCACACACACACACACACACAGGAGGAAGAGGCAGAAGGCTCACCTGAGTCTGATATGTCGTCCCAATACGGAGTGTCAAACTCGTAGTCGGCTTTCAGGATCTGTTCAAAAAGCTTGGAGTCGTTCTCATCGTAGAATGGAGGGTAACCACACAGCCTGAACACAACACAACACACTTTATCCACTTGCTGATTTACTATTAAATGTACAGTATATATATTAATTCAATTGAATTGAATTCACTAATTTGAAACCATTCATTTATGGCTGAAATAATAGACTGAAAAAAGTTGGTTGGAAAAAAAACTGTGTTCCAACGGTTGCCAGATTTCCAAGTGTGAACTGAAGCTGCTCCAACAACCAAAAACATCACCTGCAATGCATTAGGTAATTTCTGGATACACCAAGAGATTTAGCTAAAAACTAATTAAAATGACACATACACGCACACACGCACCGACACACAAAAACAGTGATTATCATGGCTGATTACCTGATCTGTTCTTTCCAGCTGAGCAGCAGCTAAAAGCTCACATAGTCTGAATCAATGCGCTAATTGTGCTCATTGCAGGGAGAAACTCTCTCTGTCGTTCAAATAAATTCAAAGTCTCTTCATTGGCAAGAAAGTAATAAAGGAACACACTGTTACCAAAGTATCAAAATAAACTACAGGTTTATATGAATACAAATATTAAAAATGTATGTGTGTGTCCCATAGACACATGTATTTAATAGAGTCACAGACCGTCCTTCCAAACATCACAGTCACATCACAGAAGTGTTAGACACAGTGTGTGTGCTGCCACCTCGCACGCTCTGCATCGTATTAACTGAGGCTGTTCACCTCTGACCCCGGATCCGACCTCACATTCAATGTCTGTCAGGCGGAGCACACACACACACACACACACACACACACACACACACACACACACACACACACACACACAAATATACACACATGTGGGAGCAGCACCAGTGTCTCAGGTTGAGCTGTATGACCTTTAAGGGCATTGGCGTAGGGCATAGGGCGTTAGGCTCCAGGCACATACATTAGCATACTAGCTTATCATAGGTATCTGTTTACGAGAGATCTAATTAATATAATACACATGTATCTAAAATTCTAAATGAACCTATTATATAAATGGATATGACTAATTTCTAATAGCCTGCAACTGAGACTTTGTTACAGTCACTTGTTACAGTTATATTTCAGTGGAAGGTAAAGTCAGAAATCATCAAAGTAATATAAAAAAAGTAACTGTAGTGTTTAAAGAGATGTTTCCACTTCCACAGCAAACATTGGATTGATCACAGTCAGTGTATTTACTTTCACAGCGAAAGTAGGCAACAGAAGTCTGTGATGTGTGAAGACAACGTGATCATCTGTTCATGTGTTTCCTGTGAATCTGACACCAACTGAAAGTGTGCTGTGTGTTGAGCCAGGCTGCGAGGATGAAACCAGGGGCCTTACAGTGTGATCACAAAGAAGATATGTGTTACTTACAGGATGTAGGCGATCACTCCGATGGACCAGCAGTCCACAGCCTTACTGTACGGCTTCTGGGCGAGAACTTCTGGAGCTGAAAGGGAAAAAATGGTGAGCCTCGGTTGATTGTTTCAGCTATTTCTGTATTAATGTGATTCCATTGCAGTAGCCGGTGTCTGTTTACCCAAGCTTAAATCTGGGTTGTGCTTGAGGTCCAGTTAAAACTCCTATGAGACTTTCACAGGATAACGTAACTGTTTTATGAGTCCCACATTTCATGGTGGGACAATTTAACAAGTTCTCATGGCTCTAAAAAGTTATCCTGGCATGAAAAAGACCCAAACTAAGCACTTCATGTTCAGTTTTCCTGTATTTCATAAAAAATCTAACTGCAGGTTCGTACAATCAGACATTATTATTTTGTCTCACTGTATCAGATAGCAGCTGATGTCTAGCTTTCGATTCTCTACATGTTGAAACGGTGCAGGTCAAGAGGCATTTATTAGCACACTATTTTTTGTTAACATGTATTATTTAAAACCCATTAACAGTGGTGTGGTTTTAAAACAGTAAAAAGGAAGCAGGAGTGAGATTTCAGCCATGTAGCTAACATTAGCTTACAATCTGCTAGCGATGGTTGTTGATATTTCCCTACTAGTAAAGTGTTTCAGAACTTAATTCAAGAGGGAAATCTGTCAGCTTTTCGAGGTAAGAAAAAGAGATAAGACAAAGATAACAGACTGGGCCCCTTACCCACATATCCTGGCGTGCCGCATGCTGTGGACATGACATCCCCACTGCCCTCCATCTTGGAAAGACCAAAGTCGCTGATCATGATCTTTGACTCGTCTTGAGGATTAAAATACAGCAAGTTCTCTGGCTGCGAAAGAGGGACAGAAAAGTATGTTATTAAACTTTTGGGTTATAAATGTACATATAATATACATATAAATGTATATTTCAAACATCATAGTCTGAACCGATAACATAAATACAACACTATAGAAAGAGACAGGCGCAACTTTCCTAATGGAGGCCGTTTGGACACATCTCCTTTCAGCCGAAGGTGACCCTAACACTGACCTAGAATTGCTGCAGTAATTGTTTTTAAAATAGGGAGGTGAGTGTGTGTGTGTGTGTGTGGTACCTTCAGGTCACGGTGCACGATGCCCATCTTGTGCAGGTAGTTCACAGCGTCCAGGACTTGTCGGATCAGTGTGCTCGCATCTTTCTCCGTGTAAAAACCTTTTTCCACAATTCGGTCAAACAGCTCGCCACCAGACACCCTGCACATAGGGGAGAAGTGTGTGTGTTTGTTATAAGCATTAGCATCCACAACAACATCAACACACTCCGTCACACACATTCCAAAATGAAAAATTCGGAATATTCGTAATGATTCAAATCTGAGTTTTGAGTAAATATAGCAGCAGAAAAACATAAACAATTATGCCAGTAACCTGTAAAAGGTGACTCGATTGAGATTTCTGGTAATTCATGAGCTGTAGGTGTCCCCAGCCAAGAGTGTGAGCCATGTACACACACACACACACACACACACACACACACACACACACACACACACACACACACACTTTATTGTAGCTTTCATACTTTGTTTTTTTTGGGTTTCTACTACTCTACTCTGTCTCCCCCCCATGTAAAAGCTTGTTAAGTTAGTTATTAAGCAGTGAGTGGGGGTCCTCAGGTGGGGGCAGCCTAATGAGACTGCATGTGATAGAGCAAGGGGAGCCAAATGTTGTTGAGTCACATGACTTCACAAAAACTCACTGGGTTGTCTAATTGTCTGTGTATTGGCAGTCACTCCACTGTGTGTGTATGTGTGTGTGTATGTGTGTCCCTATAAGACCTTAAGATAAGACTAGTTCATAACAGATGATTTAAATCCTCCCAAACATAATTCTTGCAGTAATGGCGCTATACTTCCTTCATGTCCTGATTTTAAATATGATGTTCTGAAATAATAATAACCTTTACCCCCTGTAAAAATTACAACTTTTGATCAAACAGCTGTTTTGCAGCATCTTCGATAGCAACGTTTTGAAGAAATGCTGTAGAAGAAACTGTGTACTTTGGTTAAACTTCAAAGTAAAATCTGATAAAGTACAGCTGAGTTGGTTAATATTCTCAGTTATTGCAGTGCGGCTCTGTGCAAAAGAAACAAATTAAGGAGTTCATCTGTAATTCCTCCCCTCTGGCAGATTCTTCTAATAGTTACTGTTATGTTTTATGAACCCAGAGCACATGAAGTGACTTGTTCAAGTGTTCATACAGTATGTCCAGACACAGAGCTCCCCCTGCTGGAGCCAAACCTCACATCTCATCCAATACCCTCATACAATGGGCTCTATGTCCCCTTTTGACAATACACGCTGGAGCAAATCATGCAACATAAGAAATCAGCATGTCTGTACTGTAGTAACTGTAGCAACACAGTAGCAGGCACTGTCATTTCACTAGTAGTAATAATAGGAACCATAGTAGAAGTCATCACTCAGCCTTTACTACATGTTTATACTTTGTGCTTCAACATTTAAGGAACACACACACACACGCAGTTGCATGGCATGTCTGTGGGGTGTCGTCACGGTGACAGATCAGATTAGAGCATGTGGAAGTTAAACTCTAATGAAGTTTCTGAAAAAAAGAGATCAGAATTAATTGCTAATCCTTCCTCTTCAAAGAGGCCAGCGACTTGTTCCGTTTCAGAGGCAGTCTGTCTGGTAATGAGAACACACGCACTCACTCACATACACCCACACACCCAACCACCCACCCACCCACCCACCCACACACACACACACACACACACACACACACAGACACATGGAGAAAAGGAGATCAGCCAGCATGGTTGCATAAGAAGACCATGGCATTCAGACAAAAACAAACACACAAACACACACACACACACACACACACGGATTCAGGGCTTGGTTTAATGCACAAAAAGTGGAATTACCACCTTATGATTTTATGCCAACAGTTAAATTAACGTACATGTCTGTCCAAATCGCATTACTTTATCACTTCATCATACATGTAGAGATTTGTAGGACATTTTCATAATGGCTTTGTAAGGTCACAATGACCTCTGATCAGTCCATGCTTGAGGCAAGGGGACTCTACACTTTCTGTGATACAAAATGTACAAGACGAAGACAAGAAAAAACCAACAAACCAAGATAGAAACTCAAGGTCACAAATACGGTATGCACAAAATGAACACACTGTCACACACACAGAGCCAAAATAGAAGGCTGAGGGATTGTGACCTCAGTTAAGCTTTTTTAATAAACAATAAATCACCCAAAAGAAAATAGGTCAAAGATTACAGCGCTCAGGCAATATATTCAAGGTGCAATGCGTGAAATAAGATAGAATTTGACCATTTGAAAAATTAACTAGCATATTAACAGAAGATGTTACAGATTACAGATGACTAATGTCCAAGAAAAAACTAAAATTGGAACCAAAGAACTGTCAAAACTGAATGGTAAAATTACCAGACCATTTTGTCATGATACAATTTCAGCAAAGAACAGTTTATATAAGTAAAGTGAAGAAGTGCCCGGCTGTAGCAGAGTGCTCACAAACATATCACTTTATTACCTTTAGACATGTCCTCTCAGACATGCTTTGATAACAGCCTTTTCCTCGCCAGATGATGCAATACTATTTGTTCTCAATTTGTTAAAGCCAGTTTCTCTCCATGTGCTTTTATTTTGTTCTAATATGCAACTCACGCGACAAATCAGCATCGATATAAAGCCCGTCCGGATGATCGATATTCATCACAGCGTGGCCTGATTGTCTCCCTTCGGCTGAAGTGACATAAGATAAGCCGTGATGATCGGGGGTGAAGGAAGCACGGTCATTGCTTTGATTTTCCAAATCAGACTGATAATAATCAACAAGCATAGTTCCTCAATGACTTTCCTGACTGTAATCGCAATAAATTCACAAGCGAAATAACAAAGCTAAAGTTAATGGAGGTGCCATAAAGTCACAATTCAGGGAACATTATTATGATATGTTCAAATGTAATCTGAAAGATGTAGTTTCTGGTGAGAAACTTGAATACATTCAGTTGATTGACTTGAAACCAATGAGTATATGTTGAAGTACATGGGATCACATGGGGTTTTTGTACTCATCAGCTGCTATACGAATCTAATGACATCAAAGATGAACTCACAGCTGCATGATCAGGTAGAGGTGGTCAGGACTCTCATAGATGTCCTCCAGGGCCACGATGTTCTCATGCTTGATCCTGCAAAGGAAAAAAGGTGACATATTTGAGAAAAAGCTGCAACAATTCTTACTTCATACAACATTAATAGAACTTAATTACTATTAATCATAATGACTAATCTACAAAGTTTTAGCTTTCACATTAAAGGGGCCCTATTCTGCTCATTTTCAGGTACATATTTGTATTTGTTTGCCTCTAATGTGATATGCTTCATGCTTAATGTTCAAAAAGGTCTTCATTTTTTTTTTTTACATACTGCCTGTGCTGCAGCAAATATTTCACTTTTTTGGGAACTTTTGGATTTTAGCCTTTGCTAGCCATTTACACGCACAAACACCTATAAAACACACTACGGGGAAAGGAAAAAACCCCAAAAGCATAACAGGTCCTCTTTAAAGTAACAACATTTTTCATTTTCTGCTGTTTTCCATGGTAACAACCCTGTGAGTAGGATGTGTTGGAGTGATAGCGTCTGTGTTCAAGCAATACCTTGTGTGTTGGATTGATACAATGAATGTGTGTATATGTATGTGTACCTAAGGGGGCTAGGTTCGCTGAGTTACACGGTTGCCCCGGTAACCAGGAATTAGGAGTGTGTGTTTTTCTAACAGTACTCACTTCCTCAGCACGGCGATCTCGTTCTCGATACTGCTCTCCTTCCCCTTCAGCGCCTTCTTAGGGATGCACTTCACCGCAAACATCCGGCTCGTCAGCCTCTCCTGGGCCAGGACCACCTCAGAAAATGCTCCTCTGTCGGCACATAAAGAATAAAGTCACGTGACTCACAAACACATTGGTTATTGGACAATACAACCTTCCATCCTAGACTGGTGTCCCTCTGGTTCTCATATTATATACCATTTCATGAAACACAGTTTGCACTCTTACATAAACCAGCAGGATTTAACAAGGAGCGTCATTTGAAGATATTTTCAAGTAGTAGAAAGGCTATTTAAGGACATGTGTCCTGAAATCATTCAAGACACTTTATGCAGAAAGTGCTCTGGTGATTTAGTATTGCATTTACTAGAATCTAACTTTAAACCTTTCGTTTTGTTTGTTATAATTAGTTGTCAGTGCTATTTCTGTAGCCAGGGTTATTCCAATGTATAACAAAAACTTGTAACAACAAGGTATAACAACTACTTTACACTGTGTCACACCTGTAAAACCGATAACACTGTGTAACACATGGAACACCATGTTACACAAGTAAGACTGTTTAACACCGTAATAACGGCAACAACTGTAACAATGTGTAATACCACTGTGTAAGAACAATGTGTTAAAACAATGTGTAGCACAATTTGAAACACTGCTTTGTAACACCACACTGTAACAACTTTGTAACACATTTGTAACACTAGGTAACACCAATGCAATGACTGTGAATGATGCAGACACAAGCCCAGTAAGTCCCCAGAAAATCCAATAACGCCGTTTTGTTCAGGTGCCAAGGAGGAACTGGAAAAAGTAAATAGATCACAGCTCGGAAATGGCATTAATGGCGTAGATAAATAGTATTATTTCATTAAGTGCATAATGTAACCACGTCTCAGACAAGATACACCACAATCATCCTCCTTGAACAATCTAATCTGTAGCCCTCTGTCAACTTCAACATTGCTCTTACATCTACTCTACACACACACACACACACACACACACACTGAAGAGCTTGCTTTCTTCGTGTGTCTTCCTCCCAATTTTTTTGTGTGTGCTTCATGCCTTAGCAGCAGAGTGCGTAGGCTTAAATAGCACTGTTACCACAGCAGCAATTAAGTGCCAATTATAGTCTGAATTCTCACTGTGGATGTGAGGATGAGAGAGAGAGAGCATTGAGAGGAAATATCTGTACAGTCTTCTAAACGATTAGAGGGAACATCCACAGAACAGACACATGAAGCAGAATCTGGTTTAAAAAAGCTCCAGACACTGTCATCCAACCCATTGTCCATATGGTGTGAAGAGCGGGCTGCGCTCCAGAAGCAGAGCCTCAACAGATGGGACCTGCATGCAGATCTCTGTAGGACAACATTAAAAATTAACAGAAGAAAAATGAACATGCAGGCTGGGATTACTTCAAATCACTATCCAATGATAATGATACAAAAAGGAGATGACACAGTGGTCTGGATTAATGTCAACAACATGCTAAGACCTGATAAACAGAAGATGATTCACTATTATTCAGAGCGACCCAGAACAAGACACTGAATATCTCCGGCGGGCGGACAAGACAAATTGTCATCTGAAGAACTTGCTTGGATTTTGGCAATATCAATGCTAACCTGCTCCATTAGTATGTTTAAAGGTCCCCCATTATACTGTTTTTCATCAATATATTATAGGTCTCAGATATATACAAAACATGTCTCTGAAGTGTTTGGCTCGAAATACCAAACCGATCATGCATTGTAGCATCCCATAATCCCCTCTGTTTCAGCCCTGTTTCAAAAGGGCTGATTCTCTGTCTGTTACTTTAAGGTCCTTACACACCAAGCCGATTTTCGGCGTCGATAGATGTCTGGCCGTCGATGAGCGTCGTGTCGCCCTACTCAGATTGGTGTGTCTTGGTGTGTACTGCACCGTCGTGTCTTTTCAGCCGTGCCGACACCTTCCGCCGCCGATTCAACATGTTGAATCGGGAGGCTGTCGGCTAAGGGCCGTCGGCCAAATAAATCACTCTGATTGGCTGTTCAGTTTAGCGAATCAGTGCATGAGAAGCGAAACGGAAGTGAGGGACCCAAACAAACTATTAAGAAGGCAAATCTGAGATTTAATTTAACTCCAGCTCTCGACACAGGTTCGGGAAAGCCCCATGAGCTTCTCGCTGTAGAGTGAAAATGGAACGCACACGCTATTTGTTGTTTATTTATATCACGCAGTCTGTTCTTCTTCTCTCGGTGTATCACGCAGTCTGTCTTCCGGTTGCCTCTTTTGAATGACGAATACACACTACCGACACCTGCTGGTAAGGAGAGTTATTGCCACTCACGCATGCGCAGTTCGTACGTGCAACTTGGCCGTCGGCTGAAGTCTTTGCGGTGTGACACATGGCCAAGACGCAGGAGTTTTGGTGTGTAAGGACCTTTAGATGAAAATAAGGAGCCCCTCCCCACGCCCCTCTGAAAGATATTTGGTTAAAAAGAACACAATGGTGCTCTAGGAGGAGATTCAGTTGATAAGAGGGGGGGGGGGGGTGTTACCTTGGTAGGTGATTGGCTAATGGTTACACAAGCCAAAAAAACATTATGACATAAAGTGACCAAAATCAGCTCTTTTCAGACAAGTTTTTATATAAATGGATCAGGACAAAAAGTGAGCGAATCTTTTTTCCTGACATTTTCAGAATCTCTTTACACAGAGGGGACACATGTTGATGTATAAAAGACGTGAAAAAGTGGATTTTGCATAATAGGTCCCCTTTAATGACTGCCATGTCCAACAGCTTAGTGTGACATGTAACCATGCTAACATTTGTAAACTAGTACCAAACCAACCAGCTAACACCAACCATGAAGCCAAATCGGGCCAGGGGCATAAAGTGATTGAACACCTGACAAAATACTGAAATTTCCTCTGTGGTGGTTTGTGTGCCTGCTATCGATTTGCTAGAAAAAGGGGATTGACTATACTGGAGAGAAAGATGATGACATGCACAGCCTTTAAGGTATGGATTGCCATGGCAACAGCCCTGACCACCCTTCTGTTTACATGTATCACCATGGAAACAGCTTCAGCCTTTGAGCAAGGACGTGCTTGGACTCTGTCCAACCCCATCTTGGGAACCCACAGATAATTATGACGTGACCTTGCAGCTCCCCTCAGCATTTAACATGTTTCAGCTCTTTATTTTGTTTTTCTGACACGCTGACTGTTTCTGCAGGCAGCTGTTTACCGAGAGAAATGTCTGAAAGAAGAGAAACAGCCTTGACTTTATCTTCTTTTCTTCAATGGCTGGAGTTCAAAGAAATGACCTCACATCTTGGAGGTCCTCTGCTCGTATTACTGGTGTGGAAGCAGTGAAGATGAGGAGTCAAATGGATGAGAAGGAAGTCTGCATGATACACGACCTGAGAGAGTGGACATTATTCAGGGCCCATTGATCTGAAAAACCAATCTTCTCAAAAATGATCGAAAGCCCAACAAACATCAATGGCTCAAATGCCTATTTATCTGAGCATACACCCATGCGAAGGCCTACAACTCTATTTCAAAATTCTGCCAATCCCAATTATTCCAACAGTTTTGAAATGTGGGTCTGTTTTTTTTACATATAGCATATAAATATATACGTATGTGTTTAAGTTAATAGTTGGTACTTGATGTGTTGTAACCTTGTTGATTACCCAAATTAAGCATTCAACGATAGAGGCAGCATATTTGTATTTGTGAAAGCACACAAGAGTGATGTGTTAGTAAATGTATAAGACATGTATTCAACTCTATTTTAAATTATAATAATAAAAGAAAATTGAACCCTGACCCTTTTGGCACAACAAAACATAGAGAGTGATGGATTTAAAGAATTATAATATGATCTCACGTAACAAAAGCTTCCCATGAATGAGAGGGTTAGTGAAGGGCTTATTAGCTATAGATGAAGCTCTTAGTCCAACCCTGGCTGTAAGACATGAAACAAAAATTGAACAGGCACATTTCCCTCTATGAGCCTCATGTTTGCTTAAGAGGTTCGTGATATAACAGACTCTTATAAAGGTGATGTCATGATTTGGCTTCTGTTGTACTGGTACAAACGGATACAAACACATGCTCACACTTGCTTTTTGATGTTAGCATTCCCTTTCCCAGCAGCTCTGCCTAATCCAATATACCTGGGGGCACACCCTGTAAACAGGTGTTAGCAGGACGGTGGTACATTATTAAAGATGATTTAGTCAGGATTATTTAGGCTCCATTCAATAGATTACAGACATAAGAGAAGTTAACAGTAGCAGAAGTTACGTCAGGGTGCGGCTGGTCTCGGAGGTTACACAGAGTGAATGGCATGCACCAATAGCTTATAATGAATAACTGTGGGTCGGAGCATCAGCTGTTTGAATATAATGTGAATGGTTTATTAGTGATTAATTGGTTGAAATGACCTAATAGTGGAGTAGACACCATGGCCGCCAGTTACTCAGAATTGAGTTTCGAGTAAAAGTGCTTTGACGTTGTTGAAGAGAAGGCTATATGTCTAGATATAGACCCAGGGAATGTCTGAATAAGTCTAAAAGGGGAGAAAGAGAGGGGACGACATGCAGCAAAGGGTTCTGAGTCAGATTTGAACCAAGACTGCTGCTAAGGAAGACATCTTAGTACATGGGGCCTTGCTACCTGGTGAGCTACCGGAACAACCACCATTATCGTTCTGTTATGGGAGAAACCACAATCCGGCTTGTCTGTTTTTCTTTAAAATATCTCAAATTGTCTTGGGCAGTAAGGGAAGGGGAATGCTGGCTGAAACCTGGCAACATGTGTTGAGTCAGATCACTTCAACTGTAACACAACCTCCTTTTTGGCATTTAAAGTTCAGTTTTGTGCTCGAGGACAACTTGAGAGTAACTGGGCTAAGCTCTGCCAGATAAACAGCCACACACACACACACACACACACACACACACACACACACACACACACACACACACACACACACACACTGATCCGAGTACAGTGATGGGACTCTGTGAAAGTAGGTCTGCTATAATGCAAAAAAAGCCTCTGAGGAGTGACGGTGTGTGTGTGTG